ATATATATATATATATATATATATATATGAATATATATATATATATATATGAAATCTAAATAGGCCTTTTGGGGTATGGGTGTGGGTGGGTTTTGGTATGGGTTATTCATTTATTTGTTTAGTTTACACACTTTTACAGTTGACATTTGGTAGAAGACAAGGATTTCCTCTTCAGGAAAGGTGCATTGCTAATGATGGTGCTGACTTTGTAAACTGAAATCATGACTTTCTTGTAAAGATGTACTAATGTGTTCTGAATAAAAGGCTTTCTGTTTGTTAGTTACCGTGTTCTGTTATGTAAGTGCACAAGTTAGATACTTTTATAACTGGTTGATTGAATGGAAAAATATTAGTTATGTTTCAGTTGCTGTCCGTCTTCAGTTTTTCTACATCTATTGCATTTGTTTATGACCCCAGTCTGTATAAAACATAAGTCGTGATCCCAGAGATTGCTATTATTTGGAGTACAGGCAGGTACTAAGCTGGATCAGTTGTTTAAACTTTGCTTCAGGCTGTGTCATGGGGTAGAGTGCTGGAGAATTCTGAAAGCTCTTCAAAGTGGATGCATCTGTTGGATGCTCAGCAGCCTTTGATTCTGTTGGCCTTGAGGTTCAGCTCCCTTGGACTTTTGCTTGGTGGATACACTTTCTTAGTTTGTGTTTGTGGGTAAAAAAACCAAACAAACAAAAATCCCCACAAACCCCAAAACTACAAACAACCACTCAGGCAAACAAAAGGGCTGGTGTTCTCATTCCTGTCAGCAGTGACTGCTTTCACCACCAAATGGTGCTGTGGGCACTTAGATTGTGTGCCGCTCCTGTCTGCTTGTGTAGTTCAAGAGTCCTTATTTTGGAGTAAACGTTCTTTTGGCTGCATCTGTTATCCTGTGATACAAAAACTTGGCAGGTAATGGGAGGAACTATTTAGGAGAATTTCTATAAGGAATTGCTGGGGGGGGGGTTTGTCATGATGGACAAAAAATAACTGATTCTAAATCATGTCCACTGCAGCTTATGCTTCCGCAATACACTGCTCAACTCATTTCTGTGTGTAAATGTCTCTGGAGAGGAATCACAGGTGCCTGCTGTTCCCATGGGGACAGGCAGGGTAAAGCACGGGATCATAGGGACAGGACATGGTTTGTCTTTCTGTCATCATCATCAGAAAAAAGAGTTGAAGAAGGGAGCTCAGAAACAAGAGACTGCAAGGAGGTTGCTCTACTAGATCCTTTTGCCTTGCTCTGACAGAAATGCTGCCTTCTGCTAGCTGGGTCGCAGCTCGAAACATTGTGAGAACCTCTCCCCTCTGCCAGGGAGTGTGCGACTTTTGACTCACTTGTTTCGCATATATGATCTGCAATTGTCGTGTTTAGATTGCATGGTGGCAATCTATACCATTGACTGCCGGAATGCTTTTTAATTTCTGTCCTCATTTTCTTTTCCAGCTTTTTTTAATACATCAATTAAAAATACTTTTTTTTAAACTTACATTTGATTCGAACATCACCTGTGGCGTCGGTTTCAGCCTCAGACACTCTATTTCTTAGAAATAAGTTGAGTCTTTTCATCAGAACACTTAAAAGATTTCTAGCCAGTGTAGTACTATTGTGATGTTTTGTTTTTTTTTTAAATAAGATTCTATACATGTTCCAGTGTGTGTGCACGCACTTGAATTCTACTTCACTCAGTATTTTGAAAACAGACTTAAACTGATGAGACGTTTCATGGTTGGGAGAGAAAATGAGCAGATCTTGATGTAAAAGCAACTTTTCAAAGGGAAAGGTAAACTGCTTTGTTTCTTTGTGGATTTTTATTCTGACAACGCAAACATCTTGCTCTGTCGGGATTTTGCTACCCCTGGAAAAAAAACTTGGTATTGCTTCACTTCCTCCTCTGGTGGCGTTTTTTTTTCTTCTCACTCCCTCCAGAGGCAGTGCTAAGACTTTAGCTTTTAGGAAGGCTTTTTGGTTCATGACTCAGAAGTCTGCAGACATCCCTCTAAAAACAGTTTCTTTGCATCCAAATGCTATTAATCCTTTATAATATGAAAGAATTTTAATTTTCAGATGAGAATACAGAGTATTCCAGATGGGTCTGGTTTGTTTTGCATTCAGTATTCCTGTAGCCTGCTACTTTGGAAGTGCAGGTAATAAGCTTTTCAATTGAATAAATGAGAGGTGGTGGGTTTTGGTTTTCTTCCCCTAGAAATCTAGTGTGTAATCCTATTGTGCTGTCCTGTAGAAGTTGTTGACACTGCGCTGTTTTCCGGAATGCTACTTACGGTGCCACTACAAGTAGGTCATTTAAAATGATACCCTTAGGCTTTAAAAATATATAAAATCTAATGATGCTTAAACTTTAGAGCAGGGTAGACATCAGGTTAAAATAACTTCATGCTTATGACATGCACAGTGATGGTTCCTTTCAGTTTTGTTTTTTTTTTTCTTTAAGATTGCACTGGTTGCAGTGCTCTTTAGTTTACTACATGGCTCACTGTCTTAGTATGGACATGATTCGTTTCTGCCTACTATTTCAGTTTACTTGCAGACATAGTTAAGAGAGCTGTTTGGTGTTGTGGAGTGTATGTATGTGTGTGTGTATGTGTGACCTGAAGTGCCCTCCCCACATCCTTAGTTTTTGCTTTTCAGCGTTACCAAGATTTTAAGCTGACCTGAGTATTGCTGTTGCAAGTCTTTTCATGTTTGTCTAACTATTCTGATAAAATAAAAAAATCAAAACACTAAATGTTTTATTGCTTGCCCTCAGATTACACAGGATTTCCCTGTTCAATATCTATTCCTTTTTTCAGGATTCACTCTATTTTTTTTACTGTATGAA